GCCTGTGGCCCCTGCCCTGGTCACCCATGAAGCTTTCCTGATGCACACCCCTGGGAAAGGGCAGCTTAGCTTGCTCTGTCAACTCAATGTACATGTACCAGGGCCCCTTGGGCGCAGACGGGCCGGAGGGACAGGTGCTTTCCTAGACCCCGGCCCCCTCCTCCATGACCTCGCATGTCCCTTTCCGGATAAACCCAGTGGCCCCAACGGTTTCCTCTTTATGCACGGAAATACTGAAGTCAGGCCCATGCCAGTCTACGGCCACCTTCTCCTGAACGTGCTCAATTGGTGGCAACTGTCTGTGCCTCCTATTTCTTTAGGTATTCTTTGGTTTTTGCCCTGGAGTCTGTACCCAAACTGTGGCCTCATGGGCAGCACCTAGCACTGCTTTTGACTCCTACAGAATTATTCAGTGCTGGGTAGTAACTCAGTGGTGAGGTATCTGTGAGTTTTAAATATTCTCACCAGTCTCCTAGTGATTTCGTCAGTTTACTGGCCAGGTGTCAAGTTTACCTGCAGTTTTGTTCACTCTCGAGCTCCCTGTCTCCCTTCCTGTCTGAAGCATCCCCGCCGGGTTTTCTAAGGCACAGAGTTCTCCTCTGAGCTCTGTCCGTGCCTACCTTCATCAGCTCTGTCTGCATCACATCCCATGGGGCAGCAGGGCCTGGGATGCGTTTGTTTCCCCAGACCCTGAAGAGGTGCCCTTGGCTGGGGGATGGGGGGACCTTGGATGTAAACACTCCAGGAAGCCAACCTCTGGCTGGGGTTCAGGGCTCCCCTATGCTCTAATCAGGGGTTGTGAGAACAATTACAATCAGGACACAGAATTTATAATGTTTTATGATGGTCACTCACAAACACAAAAAGTGCAGGAAGTCTGTCCACACCACTAAAAACCTAGATGGGTCCCACAGCAATGCCCTGCATGAGTCCAGATGAAGACCTAGAGCCCATGTCAGCGGCCCCCAAGAGTTGAGCTGGAGGCTTAGAACCCCGCAGAAGAACGCATGCCAGTCTGTTTTACAAATTTGCGCTGGGAGGTCCAAAGGTCAGCGGTGGAAGCTAGAAAGTCTATGCCAGTGGTGTGAAGGAGCTGTGCTGGTAGGTTGAGGGTTCTACACTGGAGCTGAGAAGTCATTCTCAAAATAAGGACCAGGGCTGCCCTGAAAAGCACCGCAGCCATCCTCAGGGACACAAAGGTCCTGAGCCCCTCCGATGATAAGAACAGTAGAGTACATGTCAGGAAGCCAGCATGACAAGCTTCTCCTGGAGTTTAAACAGCACACGTCTTCCCCTCCGAAGCCAGGAAGCAATGCCCAGTTTAAGGACCAGAGCTTCCCCAAAGTGAAACACAGCCACTCTCCGTGACAAAGACCTGAGCTCCTCCGACAATAATTGCCAAACTCATACTGAGGAAGCTAGTCATGATGAGTTCCCCCAGGAGAACCAGCAGCTCTAAAAGGCAAGAAGAACCCACCACACCTAGCTCTTCTCCATGTTTCTATTGATTATTCCTCAGGTGGGTCATCTACCATCAGCACTCTGCTGATTTAATTCAACTGGTGTTAAGTTGCCACCATTTTTCAATCCTTAACACCCTGCCTCTCCTTTTGAGCTTGGACCAGACAGGTTGACAGCAAGGCCTAGGCTCTGCCAGGGTGCTCGACTGGCTCTGTGGCCCTCAGCCTGACCCCTGGGGGATGTGGACAGCACCAGGTGTGCACGAATGTCTGAGTAGTGAGTTCGTGATGTGATGGTAATAGTCAGTTGCTGATTTTTTTTCTGAATTCTTCGGATTTGTGTCTTCAGAGATGTTTTGTCAGCTCTTTCTGAGTTTGAGGGCTACTGCCATCACAAGCAGCTTGGTGATCTGTCCTATAGGGCTCATGCCCTAGCAGAATCCTTCCAGTGGGAGCCAGTATAATTTCAACATCAAGTCATGCCACACTGTTAAAGTGTATTGGGCCTAGGGGTGGCTACCAGAGCTCAACAAACAACTCTTAGTCACACCGAGGACTGTGTAGGTCATCAGTTAGAACTGCTGCTTGCTGTGCCTAGTTAGGTCTGAGGGGGAAACACAGAAAGGCAGAAGAACACATCCTTGAGGCGCCTGGAGAGCTGTGAAGTCAGGAACTGAGTGTTGAGGGTCCGAGCTACTCCTCCACATGTCGGCCACCCCTTCTTCTTTGCACATCTCTGCCTGCCTCTGGGCGGAGTCCGAATAAGTTGTGCTCCCTGCAGCCTCAGACAGGCACGGGATGAGCCAGCATACTATAGCTCAAAGGGTTGCACTTTGATACTCAGAGAAGCCAAGAATCAATCTGCTTGTAGAATTTCAACAATCACCACTCTACATGGAGAGCCAGGCGGCTGGCAGGGAGAGCAGGGCGGAGCAGGCGTATTCCGGGCTTCCTGGACTCCACATATAGCTACCTCTGCCCAGAGAGAGCGGGCGATAATTACCAAGTGGGATCTAAGCCCAGCAGGCCCAGGACTGGACTGCCCTGCAGAGACTACAGCCACGCCATAGTCCCCGTTCCTCTGGATGTCTTCTAGTTACAAACCGAATGGGAATTTGATGAATTTGAAAGGAAAAGATGGAAGAGATTGGAAATTTCATGCACAAATAAACAGATTTAAAAACACCCACTTAGCGCTCACTTCTGTAACACTAGTTACAGCTGGGTTGTGCACAAACCCCCTCTGCTTTACATAAACAGGCTTTATGAGTCTTTCCCAGCTTTTAAGGTACCAGTGTTGCCTGGTATGCTAAGGAGAAAACTGGGATGTGTGGTAAACGAAGTCTAATTGGAGCAAGGGATCGCCTGAGTTGAAAGCAGCCCTCCCCCTTCTAATCTGTCCAGTGTTTTCCCTTGTAAACTGAAGATCATTTTCCATCCACTCCATTTGATCATGGGCATCCACTCACCGCTGGAGCATTAGGATTTACATTCTAATTTCATTAGATGGGTTTGGTGGTGGAAAAGATCACACCTGACTTTTATCTTGTATTTAAGTATTAATTACACACACATGCAACTCTCAGAAGTAAGCCCACTCCTGCTTTTCATCATCAGATAAAGACTGAAGGTAATTTATGGTGAGTTAATTGGAACGCAAAGCTGTCCAGATTGCGATGCATGGAGTCACAGCATAAATGAGGCTCCGAGCTTGGAGACAGCTGGGAGTCCTTCCAGTGAGAGGTGTTCTGGTGGGGACACCAGCCCCTGGGGATGTGTGGTCACCCCACTCCTCCGGCCCGACTCAATGTACCCCAGAAGCCTTCACCCTGCTATGGAACCTTAGAATAATCAGCCATTTTTCAAAACTTTCCCAAGCCAGCATGTTAGGGTTCTATTTACTTAGCTGGGCTGGGGTGTGGTGAATAATTAAATTCAACTGGAATGCACTTCAAAATAAAAATAAAAACACAGCCCAGCCTCTTTGGCAAGTCCTGAGACCTCAGAGAAGAGGGCCCTCCTTGACCTGGAACATGCACTGAAGTTGAAAAGGTCTCTGCAGCTTCGGCACGGAGAGAATTTAAAGTCGGGTGAACCTCCGTATTTCCATGGAAAAATGTACTTTATCAATAAGCAATGCCCGAGGGAATATTTTAAGGAAAGACAAACAATGTCCATACACATCCCAAATATGAAAAACCATTTTTAAGTTGCTTTTGGCTTTTCTCATACCTCGCTGCTCCACCCTGAGGCATTCTAGCTACAGCTTGTTCTTCAGGGTGGGTGCGGTCCGGGATGCCTACCTGGGGCAGCCTTTATTTGTAGAAAGGGTGATGAAATGGCCCTCTGTGGCTCATTTGTCCTGGTTGGCACCTAATCCACATGGCACTGCATTGCGCTGGGTTCCCTGAAGCCCTGGGCCTGGCAGGGCAGCGCCTCCCAGGAAAGCCAGGGAGACCTGCGCCTCATGCACCCGAGCAGCTGCTGGGCCCCGGGAAATCAGTATTCCTGGAAGCGGGGAGATTTCCAAATAACCCTTGGATCTCACAGATATGATCAAAATGCCTTGCACACAAATGCGTTAGATAGAATTTCCTTCTTTATATAGTGAGGTTTGCTTTGGACAGACATACGCCATCAGCTTCCACAAATAGGAGAAAATTCATGATTTCCTTTCCTACTGTATCTGTGCCCTACTATGTCTTTGACTGTGAGAGGGTGCTTATTTTTCCATTATAAAAGTGAAAAAAATATAAGAAAGCAGTTAGAAAGCAGTGATTTTCATTCTGTGCATACTTTTCCCTTTCCTCCTCACTCAGGAACAGGGCTGCAACAAATGCCTTACATTGTAAGATTCACAGGAATAATTAGTTAATATCACACAAAAGTGCTGCCAGTTCTCTCAAAACACTAAGGTAGAGCTGGGTTCAGTAAGCATGGCCTTCTGTGAGTCAGAGTTTGATCGCTTTAACTAAATACTTATCATGGTCAATGTTTAAAGAGAAAAGGTTTATTTTGCCCCAGAATTTGAGAGGCTGCACCCCAGGATGGGTCACCCCATTGCTTTGGGCTGGTGGAGGAGGCAGGAAGTGGTGGGAGGGAGAAGGGAGAGAGGGAGAGCTCAGGTCCTGATCCACAGGAAGACACCCCACCTGTGACCTGAAAACACACCCAGTTCCCCACGGCTCCCCAGTGAGGACAGAGGGACACGGGCCCGGGCCACCGGAGGTCCAGAGCAGCCTGCTCTGCCGAGCGGAGTGAACAGCAGCAGGACAACCTGTGCCCTCTCCGATTAAAGACCTGGGAACTGGCTCAGGCCATCAGACCCAGATCCTATGAGCCAGAGAAAACAAGGGTGACCATTCCCCAAGCATTCCGTGGACACACTTCTCCCTTTCTCCACGCAGGCAAACTTGGTGTCATCTCCTCTGAGTCTGTCTGGTTTACTGAACACCTTGACCCTTGACTATCCATGTTCTTTCATGGAATTATCATTTGCATAGACTTCATAAAATGGTTCAAGATTTTTAATTTTATTACCTTTACGTTTGGCCAGTGTCTTAGTTACTTTTTACTCATCGCTGAGACGAAATACTTGAAGCCCAAGGCTGGGAAAGGAAAGGTTTATTTCTTACAGTTTTTGGAGGTTTCAGTCCACACTCAGTTGGCTCCAAGACAGGCAGGCATGGCTGGGGTGCAGTTCATGGCGGCCACCCACAGCAAACTCGAACCAGCAAAGAGAAAGACATACCTTCTTCCTGTTATTACATCACATCCTGGCTCCACCCCTCTGTGGGTGGAGCACTGACACCATCAATCCAAGCACTATACAATGCACCATCACAAATGAACAATGCAAACTCATGAGGCCTGGGGAACACAAACATAAACCATGACAGCCAGTAATAATGAATCATGATAATACTATTGGTAAACTGCATTCTTTCTGTTGGATGGTTCAATGAAGTCATCTGTATGTAAAGCAAAACTTCACATACCAAATTTTATTCTCGCCTCTGATAAAAGAACACCTATTACAAAATTATACAACAATTTTATACCTTAAAATCTCTCTAATTTGACTGCATTTTTTAATTCTAAGGAGAGAAACAAACTTCAGAGAAAAGTGATAAAGGATGAAAATATTCCCCTTTCAGGGCAGTTGAAATCAAATGCATGAAAATGCTAAGGAAGAGGATATAAACACATAGAGCTATACATCGTCTTTTCCTCTTGATAACTGCTTTAATTATAGCCACTAGTTTCTGACATATAGTGTTTTAATTATCATTATTTTTCAGAAATTCTGCAATTATCTCTGCCAATTTCTCTTTCTCCTGTCTACTAAGAAGGTAGTTTTTAATTCCAAAAGAAAGAGTATTGTTTTTATTGTGTTTTAAATTGTGTTGTTTTCTAAATCCATTGAATCCCTGTTAGTGTGTGTTGTCTATAAGATTTATACTTTATTTTTGGAGTTTGAGGGACCAAATGCATGTTCAATCTTAGTTTCTGCTTTTTGTTCACTTCAGACTAAGATTCTTTTGCTCTCCTACATACTGATGCAGGATTGTGTCCGTCACTCTTCCGTAACCCTCATCTGTCTACTTTTTCATCCTCTTGATGTTTTGGACGGAGAGTGATGTGCTCAGCCCTTCTGCTCTTGTCTGTCTCTTTTCCATCATGTGTAGTTTCAGTCTTATTTATTGTTCCACTGACTGGTATGAAGCTGTCCATAACACCTTCCCTGAGTATGAGGCCCTGTAAAGTGCCCTTTCCATGCCTTGCGTTCTAGCTTGCTGACTAAAAGGATTTCATGCACCTATTTTGCGACAGTTGAAGGACTCTGGTGTGAGTTGTTTTATTTCTGACAGGGCTCTGTCGGTGGAGTGGTGAGCCATCCTGAGGCACCCCATCATGCATCTTTCTTATCCCCTGCTCCTTATACACTTTCCTCCATCCCTTCACTTAATCTTCTCAGAGTTGCATTGTTTTAGATTTGGCTGATGCATTCAGCAGGTAACAGAATTTTGCTAGCTGGGTGTGATGGCACATGCCAGTAATCCCAGTACTCAGGAGACTGAGGCAAGAGGATTGCCTTGAGTTCCAGGCCAGCCTGAACTACACAGGGACACCTGTCTCACAAAATAAACAAACCAAAAGCCAAAAAAAAAAAAAACCCAATCAAAATATGTATCTTTTCAGAGGCAGGGTAAGTGCATTGTGTTTGACAGGAGAGGAGCTCCCCTAAGACCAGGAGCTCTAAGAACACTGACCCAGCCACTCAGGCAGCAGGGGTCCCCTCTGTCCCAGGAGACTGGAGCTCATCTCCTCAGGGAGGCCCTGCCCTTTCCTAAGGGGCAGCTTCGTGACCCCATCTCCCCCACACACTGTGGGAGTAAGCAGCATGTAGTCCCCAGGGGCCCGCCACTGTCCCCTCCTCACAGCCTCTCACTCAGCACCTGAGGGTGTGGATCTGACCTGCTGGCTTCCCACCTCTGTTCCTTACATGTGTGTGCATGATGTGCGTGGTAGTTCTGCTCCAGGTGTGAGCCGAGGGCGGCTGAGTCCACTCCTCGCACTGTGTGGGCTGGAGGCAGCTGGGTGGAAAGAACTCACTGGGGGGGCTGCCACCAACAGAAACAGATTTCTACTCCATGAAACCACTTGTATTCTGCTTCCATACTGTGGATATTATGCAGTGGATAAAAGTGTGTAAGTTGAGTGACAATTTCTGGATGACCCCCGGGGCAGAATTCAGTGCCTCGAGGAGGAGCACTCTGGGTAGATAATTTGGTCTGGTCTGCGGAAGTTTTCCCCTGCTTGCCCCTTTCCTCTGTGAAGTAGGCTGGAGGGCTGCAGAGAGTGGAGATCACAGCGGGGCAGTGAGGAGAGAGCGGGCTGGGGTGGCCCTGGGTCCTCAGACCCTGGCCTGTTTCTGTCCATGTCCTGGAAACATGAACCCAGTGCCTGTGCCCGGGGCTGAGAGGAGGAAGTGTGAGCCCTCACTGGTCGTGAAGTTCTGTCATGCATTTGGAAGGCCGAGGGCTGTTTCAGAGCTGGTGTTCAGTGGACAGAGCCTGCGGGGTGCAGAAGAGGGGTGTGCATGCAGGTGAAATGCAGGTACCATGCTTCTGAGCCCACCTCGCAGAATGAGCCAACCGGAAGCACAGGGAGAGCTTGGGGTGAGCGGAGAGACCCCAGGAGAGGCCACTGTGCGAGGACTGTGAGTCCTGTGAGGTCCTGAGATGGAACTGTGGGGAAATCGCCCCGAATTTCAGGAGTAAAAATGAAACACGCGAAATAAAACTGGAAGCGACGTGAAATCTAGTGTGGCAGGTGTCTGACCAAGAACCTGGGATTCACGGGTTGAGGGGAGAGAGAGAGCAGGAAAAAAAGAAGCAAAAACTTTGCATAGCACAGTGATAGCAAGGACACTAGTGCCTCTGGCTTTAAGAAGCCTGGCCTGCTTATTTTGGGTGAGAAGTGCAAGAAGTTGGAAAGAAGAAATCCTCTGGGAGGCTGTCCCCTACTCCACGGTGATAAGGACTGAAGCAGCATGAGAGGAAGGTGCGGGCTGGAGAGACAGGCGAGCATGGCACCCTGCGCAGTCTGGATGAGAAAGCGAAGGACAGGTAAAGACGCACTTCTTTGCTCTAAGTGTGTGTAAAAGCGCTTTCAGCAGGGTTTGAGCTCTTAGGGTTGTTGGAGGCGGGAGGTTCTTGCTGGAGCAGCGTGGACTTCTGCTAAGTGACCTTTCCTGCTTTAGTCATCAGAGAGGAGAGGGCTTTCTAGCTTGCTGACCGTGCTTCTCCAAAGCACTCCGAAGAACAGATCTTTCAGAGTGCAGCTATTGATCTCCTGTGGTAAAAACACACTGCTGACCACTTTAAAAGCCTTCCAATGTCATCTATTGATTCAGACTTCAAAAATAATTTTTCCTGAGAGCAATTTTCCCTGGTGGCCAGGCCTGCAGCCCAAAGCCAGGGCAACAGCACTTAGGACGCTGTGCAGCGGGTTCCTCAGAGAAGGGACGGCGGGGCCCCTTTTCAGAGGGGTCACTGTTGTTAAGAGGGAAGCAGGGCCTCTTGCTCATGGGTGAGGCTGGAACGGAGCTGAGCTCCTACATGGAGTGTCTGAGAGGAGAGAGACCGTGGAAGCAGGATGCTGCATCCGTCTCACTGTCTTCTTCCTCTGGCCTTGGGAACCGTTTGCCCTTCGCCGCCTCCTGTTCCATGCTCCCTAAATTCAGTGAGAACTCTAAGGTTCTACACTATTACAGTTTTCTTAGGGACTCTCTGGGCCTTGGAATAATTCCAAAAGATTTCAAAATATTCTAATACATGGAAACACCAGAGGTCAGAGAAATTAAGGCAAAAAGCTTCCTGTTTATTAATAGCCATTCTTTCAGGTATGTGATGTTATTTCAATATACTTTTTTCTCTTTTTTTTTTTTTTTTTTTTGGTGCCCAGGATCAAACTCACAACCTTGCATTTGCCAAGCAGACACGCCACTGAGCTAAAACTGTGGCCCTTCAATATACTTTTAGTATGCATATTTCTTGGATATTTTTCGCCATGTCCATTCATAGATCCCCTTTTGAAAATGTCCGTCTGGGTTCGTACCCACTCGCCATGTGTTTACTTTTTCTCCTGCCCCGGAAGGCACTTCATCCCTGGTCCCGGCGTGGTATGCACATGTCATCTCTCGGTCCATAGCTGGTGCTATCAGTTGCTGTGGCTTGGTGATCACCCTTAACTGTAACACGCAGACAGACCCTGACTTGTTTTGTCTTGAAGTTTTCAGCATCACAGTGTGACAAGACTGTGCACGTTCCCTAGAACCACGCTGGACGTGGGTTTTGGGCATTTCCTGGGCTGGTGACACACAGCCCCATGTGCCTCACGACGCCCGGCTGAACTGGCCACCCGGACCCGGAGGGTGCAGCAGGGGCTCCAGGGAGCGCAGCTGCTGCACTCTCAGTCCTGCACCTTGGACGAATGAGATGCATTCTGTTTTATGCTATTTTCAATTTAGGGTTGGCTGATTGGGGTATTGTGCACAAAATCATTAAAAGAGTAGGTTTTAAATGTGCACATCACAAGGTACAAGTAGGTGATGCTGATTAGCTTGACTAGTAGAGAACACGTTAATTAGCTGGACTCAATCATCCCACCAAGTGCAGGAACCTCAGCACAGCACATCACAGCCCGAGTGTGCCGGGTGTGATTGGAGGCCGAGCACACAGGTCAGGGTGTGGTCAGCTCTGCAGGAAGCCAGTTTCCTTTTACTTTTCTCCTGCCTCCCAGGCCTTATTTTCCTTCGCCTCCTTGTTTGCTCTTCTCCTTTCCTTGCTGTAAAGTCCACTTAAGCTCTCCGTTCCTGCAGTGTCCAGGCCTGAGGTGTGTGGTCCCACCTCCACAGTGGGCGCTGACCTTCCCACAGTGTGCTCCGGCCTCCTTCGCTGAGTCCTGTGGAATCTAACAGGTCCATGGTGAGGACCGCTTGGGGCTCCCTCTGGCCGCTGACCACCCTGGGCAGTGCTCACTGGGCCAGCCCAGCTGAGGCAGGGCTTCTGTCTTTGTGGCTTCTCCAGCAGACCCTGCCAGATCTCAGGTGTGGCAGGCACCACAAGCTATCAGCTTGGTTAACCCATAAATATTAAATTTTACATAAAATGTTGAATTTTGTATTAACT